CTAGTGCAGACAACACACTGCGTCTCTGGCAACTTGCCAATTTGGCCGAACACCCCCTAACCACCGTTATTTCAATGTGAAACTCGTCCAACCCCCTTTCCAGCTCTTTTTTTGACCCTTTGTAATTCTTTTTGTTTGTCTTTTTCTGCGGTTTTTTCGCTGTTATCGCTTTATTCTAGAGTAGTTCTATCAATTCCCGTCAAAAAAGGGTAAACTACATTTTTTGCTAGCGGTGCCTTTAAGAATCGTGAACGTTACAGAGAGTCGGCATCCGAGGAGGATGAATCAACAATCTCGGCAAAGGTGAGATCTCCTTTCTAAATCGTTTTGAACATTTGTATAAAAATTAAATGTAACTGAATCAACGATTGTCGTGGTTCCTCTTGTCCACCTCAGTGCAGACCCTTCCCACTGTAAATACTTGACCACTTTTCTTTTAACTGCCCTGACCATTTTCACTGCATTTTGGAAAGTTTTTGAAGAGATGAATTTTTGTCCTGGCCCTGCTTTCCTGTGCCGGCCCCGCCCACTTCGAGGATTTGACCACATTTGTTCCCTTACCTTTAACCACTTTTTCCCGCATTCTAAAACGTATTCGAACAGAGCTATGAAACTTTGATCTAGGCCCGCCCACTTTAGTGCCATTCCCGCCCACTTCGAGGATTTGGCCTCATTTGTTCCATGACCTCTAACCACTTTTCTCCGCATCCTAGAACGTTTCCGAACGAAGTCACATTCATTTTTGGAGAATAGCTTTCATCTTTCGCTAAGCTTACGCATGCCCAGCGCACATAAGGCCCTACTCACTTTTTCTATTTTTTTCTGGCCTCGGTGCCTTCGTTGAATCGAGTTATGAACCTCTGTGGAAAGTACGCTCACTGCGAGAACGTTTGGTCCACCGTCGGTAAGTTTCCTTTATTTTAATTATTGACCCATCCCTTACCTTTGCACATTTTTCCCTTCGTCTGGACTGTTATGAGACGGAATGAGAAGAATTCGCCAATGGCCCCGTCCAATTCCGGCGCATACCCCGCCCCTCGGGGGCGAAGCTCCGCTAGGCTCACATGTGCTCTGTTGCACTTACCCTGTGCTCAACCCATTCCAAAATTGACCCGACTTCACCAGGTGTTTTTTCAGGTTATATGTATAGGATTTCCGTACAAACAAACAAACAAACAAACAAACAAACAACTAAACAGACAAAAAGGAACCAAACAGACAGACAGACAGACAGATACAGACAGTCAGACGTAAGTGCTTCATACAGTAGCGCTCAAAAGTGTTCGGTGAAATGCACTGACGCTTTTTTGTTCATAACTTTTTTCTTACAAGGGAAGGATCCCAAGTCGAAGTGGCCATTTGAAACGAGACCTATACTGCTAGACGTATTTTTCGATGCTGATTTCAAATCTGCATTCAAAATCTGCCAAACGATTCTCTGAACGAAGTTATGGAGGTGGTCTCCGGAGAGCGCTCAACAGAGGAATGCACAAAAGCCATGGTCGCCGGCAGCCCAGCAGTGGCGGCTTGGAATGGAGGTAGGCGTGACGCTTCAGAGGCATGGGACCAAGGATCGGGCTTGATGGGAGGCGGCGTTTTTGCATTTTGCAGGACTTTTTCCTCCAGGTTGTAAAAAGCTTTTTATGTTAGCTTTACCGCCTTCAGAGACTTTCTAGTTGCTGGAGGCGAGTCAGTTCCTACTTAAACCGTCTTCCGCTGCTATCGATTAGTTTCTAAAAAAGGTGGGGGTTGCGGTCAGTTTTCAAAAAGGGTAAGGGTGGACAACCCGGCAAAGTATGGTATACATATATGGATGGATGTAACACTAAAGAAAAAGGAGTATTTCGGATCCTGTGATGTTGAACGCGCCCTTACAAGGAAGGAGCACAAGTTGATAGAGTTTTTCTTCACTACCTTTTCTCTATCCTGCGGAATCCCTTTCACGAAGACCTCGACATTGATGGCGAAGGAGACTGCGTGAATGAGTACGAGGAAGCCGATCACTGTGGGAACCGGATGATAAACAGGAAACAGCAAGCACATTAATGAGGAAGTGTCCAAAAAGCAGGTGCAGGTTCTTCTTACCAGCAACTTGTTAGAGCGAGATAACAAACAAATCACGTGGGATGCGCTATCAGAAAAGTGAATTTTCTCTGCGCTCATTGTGAAAGACTTTTTTGTTTTAAACACTCCGTGCCAGATTATCCCATCCGCTTATAATAGGTAAAAGGTATCCTACAGTGAGTTTGAAATGTACAACAATAAGAATAGAATTTTTGTAATGTTGATGGTTGGACTAGACGTCAGACGGTTTAAATAGAAACTGACTTGCCTCCAGCAATTAGAAAGTCGCTGAAGGCGGTAAAACTAACATAAAAAGCTTTTTACAAGCTGGAGAAAAAAATCCTGCAAAATGCAAAAACGCCGTCGCCCACCAAACTCGACCCTTCGTCTCATGCCTGTGAAGCGTCACGCTTACCTCCACTCCAAGCCGCCACTGCTGGACTGCCGGCGACCATGGCTTTTGTGCTTTCCCTTCTTGAGCGCTCTCCGGAGACCACCTCCATAACTTCGTTCAGAGAACCGTTTTGCAGATTTTGAATGCAGATTTCAAATCAGCGTCAAAAAATACACCTAGCAGTATAGGTCCCATTCCAAATGGCCACTTCGATTTGGGAACCTTCCCTTGTTAGTAGACCAAATCGCGCGAAATTCGGAAATGTTTAACTAGAGCATATTTCATCCTTCCCAGCACTATTTGACTGCAAGGCTGCAAGATCCACAGATAGAGCAAGGTCTTTGTTGTGTTCCAGATTTTGCTAAAACTAAAGTTGTTGACGTCTGCACTTAATCGCACCTTATGTGCGTTTTTCTCATCTATTATGTTTGGCGTTACCGATCATGCACTTCAGACATGACAAAAAGGAAAGCGATTCCAGAAGGACCATCATCTGTATTTTCAGTCGATTTTGTGTTCATGCTCTTTGGAATATCTGGAACACGATCAGATTTTGAGATAATAGTGGTAAAGATTCACAATACACCCACGCTCCAGATATAGAAATTTCGCATGATTAGATCTAGTAGGAAAGGAGTTACGACTGAAAAGTACGGCTGAAGAGCCATTTCACCGAAGGCTTTTGAGCGCTACTGTAAATAGTAAGGATATCNACCATTTGAACCCAAATTTGAAGTAAAGTAGATTAGTAGGATCAGCTGACCATACCAATCTACTATACTTCAAGTTTGGGTCCAAATGATAGGCGCCATGGTCGTTCGAGTCCCCACGAACTTCGCCGCGCACTTCCTCGGACGCACGTAAGTTCCGTCCCCCAATAGCTGATTGTGCGTGGGTCGTAGAACGAATAATAGCAATCTGTATTGTCTCGACACTCGTCTAACGTGACACCGATCGAGGGGCGGGCACGCGAACTACGGCAACAACGGAGCTGCCACTATGCCCTGGACGTCGAGATTGGGGGAGTGAGAGGGCCCCTTCTACAACCCATGAGGGCCGCTGAGTATTAATAAGGTAAGAACTCAATAACTTTTCAATCGTTAACGGTGCCTTTAAGGCTCTCAAATTTACATTATCTTTTTTCCTGGTAATCGTGTCGGGAGCGGGAGGAAGAACTTGACGGCTTGAGTACTGACTAAAGCTTGAATGTTTTCCATGTTTTGTTAATAGACCTTCTCTAAACCCGAAAATCATGGCCAAATGGTGAAATCGACTAGGTGATTGTCTTAGGGAACCATGCTGCAATCAAAAAACAACGTCAACGTCGTCTCACCATACGCCCATTCACGTCCACTTGGTGCACGTCACCCCTGAACTCATTGCCAACGAAGGAACAAAATTCTTCCTACTCCTTATGAATCTCTCAAGCACTTCCACATACATACATAGTGTCACATTAATCAGTCCATGAAAGATTAGCAGTTGAGTAAAGACTGAACCGAGTAGGGTGAACTGTGAAGAAGCAAATATTTGAGCAAGAATTGCTCGCAAAACCAATTACTTTTCTGTTCGGGGGGATCGACCTTGAGCCGATCAAATGGGAATTGCGGTTGATGTTAATGACCGTTTCGTCTAGATTGATGACTGAAATATGCTTTTGCTCAGTTTCCTGACCACCTTGCTGCCTACCTACGCTCCGCCAAAATACATATGTCATACAATCATTTGACTACGAATCCGTATTGCTTAATACCGCTTTGAGCATGAAAAAAACTGGATGCGTTTTTTAGTAAAATTTTTGGTTTTAAGTTTTATATTGCCAAATCATGGATCTCTCTGGTCCGAAATGAAGCGCTCTGGTTCGAAAATAAGCTCCTCCTCGTTCTGGACATAATTTTCATACACAAACATACATGGTGGAACAACCTTCCCTGTAGTGTGCAAGCGATTCATCACGTCAGGTAATCAACTAGTCGTGGTCACTTTATTTAAACTTTTGTAAAACTCGTTGATAATAGGACTATAATGGGATATTTCCTTTGAGCTTTATCTTTCTGAGAAATTTATTTCGTTGACCTACCACAGCCGCGCCCTACTAGAGCTGGCCCAGAGAATAGTATTTTTTGATTTCCATGGTGCTAGCTCGGCGATTTATAAAGCCCTGTTTCTTTCCTCGAACATTGGAGCAAGTATTCTCTAAGGATCAGAGCAAGTATGAAGATTTTCGAGCTCTCGTAGATTATACAGATTGGCTTTTCATCTCGTTTAAAAGTTTCAACAAGATATACTGCATTACAAGCGAAATGAACCTTCTAGCTCTAATTTTTCACATGCACCTAGCCAGATGCTCAACAATCAATGAGTTTTTTTATTGTTGAACTCCAAAATCCACCCATCCTCTTATGAGGTTGTTTGATTTTCGAGCTGTAATATTGACTTTTCCGAAGATGACTATTACATACATATATTACGATCGTTCTGTGAAATTTCTGTATCTGGCAAATAACACCCAATTCAGGGATCATTTGCCGCATTATCGTCAAAGGAATGGGTAACACTTGTAATGCTAGCGTTAGCTAATCTCTGCTCAACAGTTGCATTTAGCTGCATCGCTCCGTTTTATCCTGACGAAGTGAGCACGTTCTACCTTTTCTTTCTGCCTTATTTTTTTGTAACTATTTCTTGTCTTCGGAAAAGCGACAAAAGGGAAATACCTAATACCTCTGGGTTGAGTATATTGTATTGCGATTGCATGCAAGGAGTTGCATTCAAAGGAAAAGTTCACGATTAGAATGGATTCCAAGATTCATCAGTTGTTGAATCTGTGGCTGTCAAGGATAGCCCTGTAGGCTTTCGGGTCAAAAGTGGCCTACGTAGGTCACGATAAGGGGCCTAAGACTCTCTGGTGAGGCTGTATAAGTTGCAGCATTCACACGGGACGCACACGCCGCACGCAAGCAGCTTGTTCAAGCCAGCTGTGAGCAATAGCGGACACACTCAGACAGCTCGTCCAAATACCCCTTCAATGCGAGTTTTGTCGTCACATTCTCCTCCGACCCCTGAGCTTACTACGTTTCAGAAGACTTACAATTCTCTGAATACGTTGAATTTCGCTTCTTTCGTCGGCACTATTTCACAATTCATGATTATTACTTCAACTATTCCCCTCCAACTAAATATTCTAGAACTATCTTGAACTGTGCCTTTAAACAAGTAAGAATGATGGCTGTAAAATCAAAGCGTCAGAGAAGGAGCGCACGTTCATTAGGTATCATATGAAATTCAATAATAAACTGAGTGAGTAAATCAGTGAAGGGAATCGCGATAGTTAGAAATGTAGTTTGTGTATTGCTTTAACTTCGACCTCTTCATTTACGAACACTTAGTCATTAAATATTGAAAGCCGAAATATTGAAATATATAGGAGATCCGAATTCCTGGTTTTTGCTCAGCTTCTCCACATTCGAGTAATGGTAAAATTACTGTGATTAATTTCAGGCAAAAAAGAAAGGCATGACAGAGTCTCAGACAGGAATTGTATTCGGAGTATTCGAGCTTGTAATGTTCGTCATGGCACCTATTTTTGGAAAATATGTAAGTGCAAGGTTTACCACCGTATTTTCGGGAAGGAAGACAGAAATAGAGCCAGATGGGTTCACAGACTTGATTATCAGCTTCACGTTCGGCAGACTTGTTTGGTAGTCATTTGCGGTTGTTCTTAGACTTATTGCTCGCGTTTAAAGTGCATTTGAAGACATTTGAAACGGTGAGTTCGATAGATGGGTATTTGAGAGGAAGGAGGAGTTCTTCTCAGAGGAGCTCAGGAGTAGTATTGTGCCGTGCGAACCGTATTTGGTCACTCAGGAAAGGAGCCGTGGCTGGGAAAAAGTCGAAGGGCCCGTATTGAATAGTGGGTCAAATTGCAGTGAAATTCAGGCTTTAGGTACTAATAATAGCGTCCTCTTCCGTTCGGTTTCTGTCGACAAATTTAAGGAAGTCGAATAGTAGAAAGTGCTCACATCCTAAGGCAAGAACTCTCAAGAGTGAGGGCAGTATTGTACCACAAAGACATTTTCACTGACTCCTACCTGACTCTGGATGGTCAGTTGCGGGGTCTTCAGTAACCGCCAGCGCTAATGCTGCTGGTGTTGCCTTTAAAATTGGGACCAGTGGATGGCTGTTCGAGATTATTTGTATAACTTGTAAGATTGTACTATGGTGGTTCCAGTAGTCGATGATATCAAAATTCCAAACAAACTAGTGCTTATGGGACTATGATACGCTGAACAAACAATTCGACCGGCTGTGTACCTTTATGACTTTCCTCGTCAAGTCTCTATTCTGAATTTGTGCTCAATTACAATCCACAGAAAACAACCTGTTTAGATGACCGCTATCGGTTCGAAGAACATGTTCACACTGGGTCTCGCTATAACAGGAATAACGGCTATTCTTTTCGGGTAATTCTTATCCTGTTGAATTTTCCATTCCATTCGGATTCCATGCGTACCTGATTCAAAACGATTGAATTAGTGCAGGGGATTGGTTGTGTGATTGCTTATTTATTTGTACGATAGCTTAAATACCTGTTTATCCATTTTTCATTGCTCCACACTTCACTGGAGGCACAGCTCACGATAAAAAAGGTTTCTAAGATAGTCCCTATGGATGAATCTGTTCCACCTTCCCCCTAACACTAGAATCTCACCCGAATACCGCTTACATGATATTTTCATGATGGTGATCTCGACAACCTCGGAAGGGTTGAAAAGGGTACCTCGAGATAGTCGTGAATCGTACTCAAGAAAGTTCGATACCGTAAAGAATATAAAGGAATCCGAGGGAAAAAAGCACGAAGCAAAATGCAGAACGAGGGCGCTTTATTAAAGATTTCTCAATGGCATGAGCTGTTTTTGATCTCATTTCATCAACTTTTAAAATGCAAATTGGTTCCACAATCGACTTAACCACACGAGGAAACTTATCGGAAAAGCAATGGCTCTATGAAACAGGTATGATACAGTTGAATAAGCTACTGAAGTGAAAAAGCAGTTGGAAAGAATTACTAATTTTGTATTCTGGTCGGAGATATTATTACTATTTATTATTATAAATTATTAATTATTAAAATTGAAATTTTTATTTATATGTAAAATACGGCTCACCTCTATAACACATGTGATTTCAGGTTTCTTAACTATCTTCCATCGGGTGACATATTCTTTCTTGCTAGCGTCATGATTCGCATACTGGAAGCGGTCGGAGACGCAGCATTTGTGACATCGAGTTTTGCAATTTCAGCCAAATGCTTTCCCGGCAATATTGCCGTCATTGTGGTTTGTTATAAATTCTTGAATTACATGAGGCACGACTTTTTCTGAGTATTTTTAGATGATTATACGAAACTTGTGAAAAAGTCAGCCTTTAAGGGTGTTATGGAGACGTTTGCTGGGCTTGGCTACACAGCAGGACCCGTGATTGGTGGAATACTGTACGAGTTTGGTGGATTTCAAGTTCCTTTCCTCGTACTGGGTGCAATTCTGTTTGTTGCTACAGCGCTTGGTTGGTGGTTGATAGAAAACTACAAAGACGGTGAGTAGCAGAATTTCGCTTCTTTAATTTGCCGCCATTGGGATTTTTTTCTGCTGGGCAATTGACTTCGGGAGCCATGATATGGTAGATAATTATTTATTCACTTGTTCATTTATTTACTTATTTATTTATTTATTTATTTATTTATTTATCTTTTTACTCATAGATTTACCCTCCTGTCTGAGTGTAGCGCGTCCTTTGGGGCGCAGAGTAAATAAATGAATAACTGAATATTTATCAACGACGTATTAATATCGAGAGGGTGCACCAAAAAAAAATAGGCGAAAAGAAAGCAAACTTTTTTTCAGAAGAAAACAACCGGAAGAAAAAGTAACTAGGCAAGAAAACCCACAGAGGGGGATGAATGATCAGCAGAAAGTCTATACACATTAGAATGGAGAAGGATAAAAATAAACAACTCTTTGCACAATAAAGCTAGAATAAATGCAGTATGCTGGTGTTGATGATTAGGTGAAATATTTATAATTGCATATTATACCCTTAGCAGTATTTGATAGAACAATAGCTTCGAAAAGGTTCAGTTGGTAAGAGGCGGTGTTGGTTCCTTACTAACTTGAGTGTCTTCTAATTTTCTTGTCATTGCTAAGGTAACATTTGCGATAATCATTTAGATGACGTGGGCGGATCGAAAGGAATGGTTGCGATGCTACGAATTCCGGTCATTTGGATTATGGTCTATGCTGTTGTTGTTTGTGCCATTTCATTATCGTTTTTGGACCCAACACTTTCTGCTCACCTTGAGTCGGTCAGTTTCCTGAAAGATTTCTGGTAAGCTTTCAGGAGGGTCTCAGTTGTGCTAAACAACAACATTCTCTCCTTATGTTTTACTTCTTATCTATTTAGTTTGAGTGGTTATGAATTGATCTACGGACTGATCAGTATCATGTTCATAATGAAAAATTGTCAAGGTTAGGGCGCCATAGTGACTCTCCCATCTGAATAATTACTCGGATTACTCGCAGCTTGTGGATGTCATTTCCGGAAGATTCAAAAACTTTTTTAGTAGTCACAATTTTGAATTCGTTGTAAGGATCAGCCTCTGAGGCGAAGAAACCATCCGATCGAGTTGTCACTTTCGCAAAGGTACAGTTCACGAAAATCGGCGGTTTCTGTAAAATATGAGGCATCAAAAAAGTTGTATGAGAGGGGTTGTACGAGATTATGAGTCTGTGATCATATGGATGTCCCTTGCAAAGCGTACTTTTCGTCGGCGTCCTAACATTCATTGTCAATAGGCAACCTTAACAAGATCGGCATGACACGGCCACTTTCGGATGTGTACATCGTCCATACTGGCTTTGGAGCCCTTATTACACTCTGCCTATCAAGGAAAGGGTACTGAGTCGCAGTGGCCTTTCAAGACCGCAGTGGCCTTTCAAGATGAGGTTTATACCGACATCAATACTTTCAAACGCTGATCTCAAAGCTGGGTTAAAAACCTGCGAAACGATTCTGGGAACCAAGTTACGGGCATAACCTCCCCATTTGTTGCTTTTATACGAGAACCAAGCAGTGCTAAGCGTGCAGTGATGGCGCAGTTGGGAGGACCATGGAATGGTATTTCTGACACGAAGGTTTGGATCCTTGATGCATGCGCTTGTTTTGCTTTCTTGTAAAAAATATCTTAAACGCGTGCAAAACCCTTTTGCTCATCATATAGACTACAAACAGCCCTCCATATTTATGGAGCACTAGAAATGCTAATACGAGTGAATTTTTTTGTCGCCTCCACAGACCGAAGAAGGATGTACATAGAACCCTTCCGCTGATACTTAAGATACTTAACATGTGGCCACGAAATTCAGCAGCTTCATGCACTTTCAAAAGAGGGCGGTCGAATGATTCGTCAGGCTATAGTGCTCCTGGATGAAGTAATTCCTTCTCCATGCTTAGAAGTGAGCTGGTATAATTTGTCTGTCATTTTTAAGCAAAAATACTACCGGAGCATTAGGTGAGCATTTTATGAACGACATGATAATCCAGCACAAAGTATTCGAAACAGAAAAGCCTTTCACAATGCGAGCAAGGTATAAAAATAGAAAAAAAACTGCCGTCTAGATGAGGTGTGAAACAGTATTGTACAGGAGTTTCAGCTTCTTCTTGGTCTGTATCTAAGTACCCTGCTGCAAACCATGAATGAAAACGAAACATCTGAGTCTTAATGCGCTAAACAAGAAATATACTAGTGAGATAAGGCGAGTTCGAGAGACTCACTTTGAGGAGTTGCGATAGGTCAAATGTTGTGTACTTCCACTGCATGCCAGTTGGCAGACCACCCTGAATTGCTTCGGGTTCCTTGACCGAGCTCCATGAGTCGATAGTCAGTAGGGAAGAAGGCAAATCTGTTGATCCAACGCACGATCCAGTATCCAATCCAGCATAAGTTCCTGTCGAAATTCGTGACCACATCTCAAGTGCCTGGAGGAAAGGCTTCTATGTGCATTCCTCTACGGTCTGTAGATTGGACAAGAAAAATTTACTTGGATTAGCATTTCTTGTGCTCCATAAATTGAAACAGGGTTGTAGGTAGTCTATATCATGCGTAAAAGGGATTCGCAAGCGTTTAAGACTTTTCATTGAAAAAGCAAAACAAGCGGGAAATGTATCAAGTCCTACCAGTCCGTAGCCCTCCTAACTGTGGGATAACGGAACTTCTCCCCTATCGCGACATTCTTCCTTGCAGCATGCGGTAGATATCACTGCAATTACCGTACTCACCCCGCCTCCCGCCAATCGATAGGACGCGATATTTTTCCTTGACTGGGTGCTAGGTTCACCATAGGGGGAATCACAGAAACCCCATCGTGAACTGTACCGTTAGAAAGTTGATTCCTGTTCCTATAGTAAAAGTGAGCGCAACATTATTCCAGTTCAAACTCTCGCCGACAATGATTGGCCTGATGTTTTTGCTCTGTGGCGGAATCTATACAATATCCGCTCCAGTATGGGGTCTACTCATTGACAGATATCAATGCACTATATCTGTGATGGTGTTTGGTTCAGCGGTTACTGTACTTTCAATGCTCCTAATCGGACCATCACCACTTTTGCCATTCAGCAAGTGAGTCGCTGTCTTTGTCGCTTAACAACCTACCGTCATCCTAACTATTAGGTTGGGAGGAAAATCCTGCAACAAAAAGTTTGAAGCGTCAGCAATTTGTATCAACAGTGTGAACACGGTAGCAAGAGTGATAAACTTGTAGGACATTCCTCAGGTAATCAACACATGGGTAAATGAGGGCACGCATGTGGGCTTTAGCAGCATTACGGTCAATGAATGGACAACACCCGATTCCTACTATCACCTTCTACTAAGCACGCCAAGGGAAAAACGCGGGTGTAGCGGCTCAAATTAACAGCAACCTATTGTTTATTATTAATGTTTATTAAATAATTATCAACTATTCAATGCTGGCACTGCTCACCTATCAACGGTCAACAATCGGTTCGATCGCTTCACTGGAGGAGATACTAGCCTTCGAAGACACGCAAGCATCGTCCCTTAATTTAATGAAGGTTGAAGGGATCCATCCTCTATGAGTTGCTAAACGCAGACTAGATGGACACAGCTATCGATTGCTCTATGATCCCCTTTATTTGGCCCACGGGGTTAGAGAAGGGCGATCAAAACCATAAATCTGGTCCCTACGGAGGGACAGCGCACGTCAAAATTTCGCTTTAAACACGCGCCAAATTTCTACGANGCGCGCCAGCGCGCCTGCCTGCGGACTATGAAAGCAGCCATTGAATGTGTATGTGACCTATACAATGAATTCCCGTGGCCGATATACAGCCAATAGCCAATATACAAGTCACTGCTTTCATCCTTTCAGACGAGTCTGGTACCAACTACTCGACTCCGGAGGTGTGGAAGGCTTGGTTGGCCCAGACGGATATCAATCCGGGTTTGGAACCCGTGATCATGCGTCTGTGATAGTGCGGCAGTTGTTATTAGACCACCTCCGCCTCTAACTTGGAATAATTTGTGTAAATAATAATTTGTAATGAATTCTAATAATAATTTGTCGGTGTCGGAGGTGGTTTAGTGACAAGTGGCGCACTCCACGCACGCATGTTCAAGAGCTCAAATCCCGGATCGATATCCGCCTAGGCCGACCAAGCCCTCAATCCCTGCGGGATCGATTAACTGGTACCGTACTCGTCTGGGAGGATAAAAGCACTAACTTATACATCGGCTGGCCACCGCAAGTCACTGAATAGGCCACGCACGCATTCAATCCGCGATTCTGAATGGAAGTCGAATGCGTGGGCGCATCCCTCAGACGGGATTGATCAACGCCCTAAGACTTTATCCTTTATCCTTATCCGGATTTGTCGGTGTGAGACAGCAGGGACCTTGTAACAATTTGGATTCTTCCCAAAAATTCTTTCTAGATCCTGACTCTATCCCCTCCTCAGTTTTTACACGTTTTCATGTAAACGTTTGTAGTTGAATATGAAAATTTCCAAATGCAAAAAAACTGGGTTGGTTTCGATATTATATCTCTGAGATTCTTCGTCATAAGTGCTTACCTCTTTTCAAAATTTTATGGTGTTGATTCAGAAGTGCGAAATCTATTTTAGAGACCTTATTGTTATTGGTATATCATTAGCTGTGCTTGGTGTTGCTGCTGGCGCTCTTTACATTCCGACGTTTCAAAGTTGTTTGGATTCTGTTAAGTGAGTCTCTGAACTTTGATTGTTACGCAAAAACGACCATAAAGTACATATAACAGTTTTGTAGAGGCTCCCTGTTCTAAGTATAATTAAGGCATATCAAATATGATAACTTGAGGTGTCAAGAATCCAAAATTTCTAAAGCTAATCCTGACCTCTTATTCAGTGCCTGATTAATCAGCCATTGTAGGCTAACCGTCACCACAGCAACTCTTGAGTATGAGGCAGAATAGTAGTATACAGTGCGTTTCATAATTATAAGGTCACCCTCGATTTTTGCGATTCTGCAGAAAGCAGTCAGAATGTAATTTTTTGGCAAATACAGGAAGATTCCTCATCACAATGTACCTCCGTATTCAAATTTTGGTCGCGACATCCTTCACCTCAAATTTTTTATGAATTTTTTAAAGATAGTGTCGGCTTCTGCACCGTTTCATAATTATAAGGTCACCCTGAGAAAATAATTGATTTATTAATGTTGATAGCGTATATACAACACTGAATAATCTATAGCTCCTCCTTGTTTAAGAGCAACATCAAAGAGTCTGCGTGGAATACTAGCAACTAGGTTCCGAAGATGTTCCTCATCGATTGCTCTCCATGTTTCGATAATGGCCCGCTTCAGCTCTTCTGCGCTCTGGAGCTGACGGTTATTCGCATAAATCTATCTGTCTATTATGCCTGAAATATTTTCCATCGGATTGAGATCGGGACTGCAGGCTGGCCGTGGCAGGATGCTTATTTATTGGCATTGCAGCCCCTCATCCGCTGCACGGCACACATGAATGGAGGGGATGTCTTGTTGAAAGACGTAGTTGAGGAGACGGCGATGGCATAGAAAGGATACTAGATGATACTCCAAGACGTTCTGGTAATCCTTGCAATACATACTGCAGCTCACGACAGGTAGATCCAACACGACATCATTGCAGAATGGACCCCACACCATAGACTTCCTCCACCGAAACTGCGACGGCTGAAGTAGACTGGTTCCTTTCTCAAATCGCGTCAGTACCGTTTGTTTCCGTCAGGACCGTCTAGATTGAATTTCTTTTCATACGAAAAGACGACCTGAATAGGAATTATTCAGCTCTATGGTGAGATTTTGATGCAGATCTACCTTTGCCCAATCTCTCCTTAGGTTCATCTTTGCAAATCCGAGTCGAGTTTTTCTGTGGTGATCGGTGATTCGTGGCACCTTCTCCATTGCTTGCCTGGCGATGTTCTCGCATCTTCTCACTGCTCTCCAGAATGTAGTTTTTGACACAGAGAGGTTTAATTCCGATCGGATCTAGTTCAAGGAGGACGTGCTGTTGGAAACAGTCCTCAGAATCTTCCGCACGTCACGAGCAGTAATCTTTCATGGGTGNCCTCCACCGAAACTGCGACGGCTGAAGTAGACTGGTTCCTTTCTCAAATCGCGTCAGTACCGTTTGTTTCCGTCAGGACCGTCTAGATTGAATTTCTTTTCATACGAAAAGACGACCTGAATAGGAATTATTCAGCTCTATGGTGAGATTTTGATGCAGATCTACCTTTGCCCAATCTCTCCTTAGGTTCATCTTTGCAAATCCGAGTCGAGTTTTTCTGTGGTGATCGGTGATTCGTGGCACCTTCTCCATTGCTTGCCTGGCGATGTTCTCGCATCTTCTCACTGCTCTCCAGAATGTAGTTTTTGACACAGAGAGGTTTAATTCCGATCGGATCTAGTTCAAGGAGGACGTGCTGTTGGAAACAGTCCTCAGAATCTTCCGCACGTCACGAGCAGTAATCTTTCATGGGTGTCCACAGTCGGTGTTATATCTAGGGACATCAGGGCTCTCTAGAATTCTTTGAATGGACCAATGGGATCTCCTTATTTGCCTGGAGATGGCTCGACTACTGAGCCCACCTTCATGATGAGCCTTCTCATCAGAGGAAAGCAGATGACCACGAGTCATGTTGATAGCCAGGTTTAGAAATGCATTTGCTACACATGCTTACCTTATAAGTATCTTCAAACACAAAATTTCCTCTCTTCCATGAATAATTGTTCACTTTCTCAGGGTGACCTTATAATTATTAAACGGTGCAAATTCGATAAACTGTTCTAAAAAAGTTCAGAAAGATGCAGCTGCGGCTAAAAAACGGAAACCTGGGTTATTCGTGCTGGGGAATCCGTTGATGATGCTAGAAAAAACCCTAATGATTGTTTTTTCTGAAAGTGCAAAATTTGAGGGTGACCTTATAATTATGAAACGCACTGTAGTAATATGTAGTAGTAGTGACTGGCTCAAATGACAGTGATTCTGGCCAGCTTTCAACGGTTCACACGAACCTTTTTACTTGTGCTTAATAAAGATTCATTAGACTTTGTATTTCCAGGGAACACGGTTACGACGATTCTTTCCGAACTTACGGTTGTGTATCGGGTGTATTTCAATCTGCCTTTGCCCTTGGGTTCGTATTCTCAAACTTTTTCGCGTAAAGCCGATGTCACGTTTTTTGGTGGATTTTTGTTGCCTTTTTCAGTGGGTTTATGGGTCCCACTGTGGGTGGGTTTGTGGTCGAAAAAATCGGGTTTGCATGGACTACTACGATTATCGGTGCTATTCATGTCATGTTCGTGAGTTTGTTTATTTTCTTTTATTTTCATTTGCTAATAGATTGAAAATGTCATCTAGTGATTGTACGCGCCACATCGTGGATGTGTAATACGGCGGGTGTAGAGGACTTATGCGCATTTCCACTGAGACTTGTATTTACTTGATTTTTATTGTAATTCAAATAAGTCAATCGCAAAATATCTTCACTTCTGTGATACAGTTTGCCAAAATAGGTAGTGCTCCCTGCATGTAAGTTGAGGGATCCTATACGTGTCCAAGAGATAGGAAACACGCGGCTGTCTGAAGCTTGTTTAGGAAGACCTCTTAGTAAGCCGATGCTTTTGACGTCCATGGGTGTCGTGTAGGATCAACCGTCGACTATTCTGGTTCAGCTGTCAGCGCGAATGACATCAAATCCTTATTTCCTTTTCGCCTACGCGGCAGCGTCCTGTCCTACTGCATGGCAAAATGATTAGGAATGAGCTTAGATCTTTACAACACGTTACACTGTCGATATGGTCATATACTGCTTACTCAGAGCTCAGGCCACGGCCAGTACTTGTGCATTTTAAGCCTAACAAGTAAGTATCAAACAATGGCCTGAAATTTAACCAGTAGTGTCGAATTGCTGAAAGCCTAATGCACAGACAGGAACGAGAATTCGGTACGAGCACTTGGCGTTTACAGTGACCTTACGATGACAAAAATGTAATGTACGGAGAATTTCATTGGCAACGTGTTACCTTTCACTATATAACTCTATTTGAGTACACAAATTCTCACCTGTCACATATACGACGCGCCGTAAATGGACCTTGGGCACACGGGGAGGGACGGGGAGGGTAGTCTAGGGGAGCCGGTCGGTTGGCGCGATGGGCGGAGTCGCGCCGCCTCAAATGGGCCTCAGAAGGAGCGCGCACATCTCAGATCGCGTAATCTTCTGCTCTCCTCTCCTCTATAGATGATCGAATGGGCTTCCATCATTTATAGAGGAGAGGAGAGCAGAAGATTACGCGATCTGAACGAGCTGAACGGCCCGATGGGCGGAGTCGCTCCGCCTCAAATAGGCGGGGCGACCCCGCCCATCGCGCCAACCGACATGCACCCTAGTCTAGGCGTGCATCACGAGAACTTGCTCGCACCAGGACCCATAACCGGATTACGGTAGGAGCCAAGTGCCTGTACGGGTATGTGTACGAACGTGCGTCCGAGGATGCGCGCGACAAATTGCGCGGCGAAGTTCGCAATGGTTTGAACGACTTTGGCGCCTACCATTGGGGCCCAAATTTCAAATAGAGCGGATTAGGAGGATCATCCGACTCTACTAAACTACACTACTTCGAGTTTGTGCCCCGAAAATTGGCTCGGCAGTCGTACAAATCGTCACGAACTTTGCCGCGCAATTCGCCGCGCGCACCCTCGGACACACGTTCGTACCGTCCCCCGTGCCTGTACAGAATTTTCGTTTCTGTAATGCACAGTTGTTGTTCGTGTAGGATTTTGGGTAGCTGCGACTGTTCGCGAGAAAGTTACTGAAGATTACGGCAATTTATGGATGGCCACTTGGCCGTTTCCTAACGCCCACATTAGCATTTTTACTTAATTGTGTATTTATTCAAGTATTTGCAATGATTATTAGTGGTAACAAAAAGTCCACATTTTCGTGACGAAAGTTTTTAGTTGTCAACGGTGTTCGCCTTCTATAGCCCTTGCTGCAGGAGAACTGCAACACAACAACGGAGTTAACTACACATCATTAGTATTCGGTTTTGTACAAAGAATGATGAGTGTGTTTGATTCACTACATGTTCTAAAGCCTTTATCATCGTGTCACAGATCCAATATGATTTTTATTACGCTTTACATGAAATTCACTTAATACATTACACTCGGATCGCGAATGATGAATTGTGATAATTTAGTTTTTTTTCTGTGAAATACATTTACAATAAAGATTCGTTATTCATTATCATCCAACCATTGAGTGTTCGAGTACACAAAAACATGGATGTGATTCACAGCTGGACTATACAGAGAAAAGGAAAGCCATCAAAAAGGCAAGGGCATGTAGGCTTCCGTAATGTAAGGATCGAAGAGCACGAAGCCCGTAAAGCACAATTGTGGGTTAAAATTCCATCCGAGGCCAACATTTTGTGCATGGCTCAAAACGAAGAGAACACAAAAACCGGTGTATTCGGAAAAATATAAGGCTTCAAAAAAAGTGATAGAATTAGGAGATGGACGTGAATATGACAATAGGGGTTGTTGTCAGCCTTATAGCTGGCTACAGTAAGCTGCCTGCTTGCAACGTGTGCGTTCCGTTGCGAAGGGCGTGCAAATATTTTTTCGATTGCACCTAATCAAAGCTCGCCTCGCACCTAGACGCAGAGTGATCTTAGTTAGGTGTTAAGACTACACTATAATTACGCTGTCCGCACTCGCTACAAATCCGGTTAAAATTTGTCAACTAAAGAGGGGAACGACAGTTTGAAAAAATGAAGTTTCTTTTTAAGAAATGAGTTTCTTTGAAAGAAAAAGTTCCAGTAACAATCCCAACGGTTTTGAGAGTTTTATTTCCACGCATAATAAATAATGTTCAGCTCTATTGGGGCAGGCTGCGTTGGTGCAGAAAACGTGTAGAGCGATTGTTGTGCTACGGGATATCGCTGCATTTGAGAAGGCTGTATGGGTGCAGGAAACGTGTAGAAAGAAGGTTGTACCACGGAGTTCAGCTGCATTGGAGAAGGCTTCACGGGTGCAGGAATCGTGTTGTGAGAAGGTCGTGTTAGGGAGTCGGCTGCATTGGATAAGGCAGTGTGGGTGCGGGAAACGCGTAGGACGAAGGTTGTTATGTGGGATCCAGCTGCGTTGGAGAAGGCTGTGGGGATGCAGGAAACGTGTAAAGCGATTGTTGTGCTACGGGGTCCCGCTGCAATGGGAGAGGCTGTGTAGATGCAGAAGTTCCAAAAAAATTATTATGAAGTTAGCTGTAGCTTCCGAAGCAAAAGTGAAAAGCTCGGACAGTGGAGGAAATGGGCCACATGGTTCGCGCACTCCTAACTAGTTTGGAAAGGTAGGACACCCTGTTAGTCCATTGAAACAGTCTCTAGAATACATGGTAATGTCTTATAAAGTAAGCAGCGGTAGTTAAACCACTCACCCATCTGGTTAAATAGTCCTCGAAGACCTCTCTCAAAAGGTCTGAATTTAACCTGAAGCCTTGCTATATGCCGTAAAAACTGTGAAATGGCCTGAATGGTGTTCAATGACCTATCAATGAAGAGTAGTCCTAATATTAGACATTCCTAGAGAGCTATAATGCATCGCTTCTGTAAAGGTTGTTTGATATAGCAAATAAGCGGAAATACCGAAAAAGAAGCGAAGTGAACTGTTCTATCCATTTTCCAAGAACTTGAAATAAAATATATTGAACTTATCTATCATGCATGGGAATAAAACTCTCGAAACCGTTGGAATTGATATTGGGAATTTATCTTTCAGCGAACATTTCTTTGAAAGAAACTCTATTTTTTTACTGTCATTATTAGTTGACAAGTTTTGACTCGATTAATAGCGAGTGCGGGCAGCATAGTTACAGCGTAGTCTTCGCACCTAATTGAAGTCACCTCGCGCCTAGGTGCGAGGCGAGCTTGATCGGTGCGATCGAAAAAATATTCCCGTACTCCGGTGAATGGTGCAAACCCTACAGTCTCCATAACGCCTTGAGAACTCGTCCGCTTTTGGGTGTGTACGCCGGCTAACCCGGATTAAGGCCCCTACTACGAGACCACATCTAGACCGTTTTTCATCCGACACTGTCACTTGTGCGATCCTCAGAGGTCACAGGTTTGGCCTAGGGAGAAATCTCAGTAACATTTTAATCGTGAACTATATTTTTGACAACACTTCTAATGTTGAACCAAATGATTGTCCTTAGTTTTCCTGGCATCGCAAAAGGTTTATGTTCCTATGGATGTTGGGTTTGACACCGTTTGATATATGCCAACCGTTTTTGATAGCGAGAATCGACAGGGATCATACGGAAGTAAAGGAAAAAGGTATGGTAATGATGATGCTCCCTCGAGGTTATCTATGATTTAATTTCTAAATTAAATCCAATCCAAAAGGTGTTTCAGAAAGAGTATTCACTCATCAGTGCATCAGCTATCGAGCTGTAATGTTATAAGATTTTAAATTGTGGGCTAGGATTCATTACCCACTTTACTCTATTTGTACACTTCTGTGATAAGAGTCGTATTGCGATATCTGACACACTTTATAAGTTACTGCATCTTTTCGGTAACCTTAAACGTGGGCACGAGAATTAAAATGGTTTCTTGTTTGAGTGAATGCTTTGGCTGCTTTCATAGTCCGCCGGCCGGCTGGCGGACTATGAAAGCAGCCTTTGCGCGCACATTTGTATGGAAATGAAAACCATGGAAATACACGAGATACACCGCATCAAGGCAGAAATCAAGGTGAAATGGGATTTTTCTGCTATCGTGAGACTAACTTCACGATAAAACATCGTCGTATTAGGATAAGCTCGGTTTCCCACTTCCTTTTTGTGTTCTTCACTGACAGCACTGACAGGTCTCGTCTCTAGCAATTCCCACTTGATCTAATGGATTCATCATATACATGATTATATACAGCAATATAATTTTGGGGCCTGAGGAAGGCTTTAAAAGCACAGATCGCATTGAACATGGAATCTGAGATATCCCTCTAGGAGAATCTGTGGCCCCTCAAATACCATATGTTCGCTGTTAGATCTAAACATGGCCTAGATAGGGCGTTATAGGGACCTAAAGGTTGTATCGGAGTATGCCACACCCAATTCGGACGAGTTTCAACGTAATTGTAGAGACTGCACCATTTACAGGAGACAGTACATGCTACCAATTCGAACTAGTCGTGTCCCATGATACACTTCTTTGAAGGAATGAAATTTGAAATTACATTTATGTATATGTATATGTATATGTATATGTATATGTATATGTATATGTATAATGTATAATGTATAATGTATAATGTATAATGTATAATGTATAATGTATAA